ATTATAATATATTTTTGTATTTTAATTTTTTTTTAATGATAATTTAGTAATTCCTAAAAAAAAACAGTATACAAGTATATAAATGTGAGTGTAACAGTATGCAGGATGCTACTGTTTTGATTTGTAAGGTATTAATTTATTTCATTTATTTATTTCATTTAATTCTTAAAAATTACTAAAATGTTGTGGATCTATTATTTCTGTCGTGGATGTGATCAGTCGGATATATCCAGAAAACAAATGTACATTTTTGTTTATCAATGATTCTAATTTAAGTTTATTAATTTAAGATTGTTTTACATGTTTTATGTCCTCAGTATTTGAAGTCTGCTCAAGATGTTGCACAGTTATAGTATGAGACCGGCAGTAAATACCATGCAAGGTTAAATCCATGTTTGATTTATTCGGCTCCTTCTGCATACCTGATCGATCAATTGCTAATTACCCAGCCAATCAATCCACATCAATCCTGCTTCACAATGACATACGTCACAATATTCCAATCAATACACGCATGAGATCCAATTCCTCCAAAAAGGCCGTGGTGCCCCGGGATGTATCAGTCAGAGCTGATGCACTGTTACAAATCCAGAAATCAATACATTACATGAGTCCGGAGCTGCTGCTCTTTGTGGCTCATCTCACTCTGCAGAAAGTGGATTTCCCTGCACGGATCAATGAAAGCACCACGGTGCATTAAAGGTGCATTAAGGGAGACTCTCACTGTTTTGTTGTGCAGCATAACGACAGCAGCTCACATCAGGCAGAGGGGCTGATAGAGGTATTGATCAGAACCTGTCGCTCTGATTGCTTCTTCTGGGCATGGCTTTCAAAACTCACTCTCTGGTCCAAACTTCCACTTGTGTCTTCAGCTGCTCATTGATGAGGAGGACAGCAGGGCCTGAACAGGTCAGAGGGTTTAAAGGCCTCTTGCTCGAGCCAGGAAAGACAACAAACAGTGTCTATAAGGAATGAGATCATAACACAAGCACAGAGCACTTAACATGACGTCCTGACCTGAACAGTCTTGGGAAACGGTGTGTATTACCTTCTCTACAAGGGAAGGAATGCAGTTCTGATGAGGATATTGCAAATCCCTTTTTTAGTTTGTTGGTTTATCTGCAGTCACATTTGAGTAAGTCAGAAAGGTATATTTGAGTGGAATGGCTTCAAAAGAATCAATATCATATATTCATATAGTCCTTTTAACACCCAAACCTTAAATAAATGATTAATTTTAAGGTCTAAATTGGGAACACTCAGTGTTGAGGGTAGTGACCATCTGGTTTTCTCATTTGTTAAACAAAAGTAGGACAAAATATAATTATGTTTTCATACATTTCTATTTTTTAATGGGGGAATAACAGTACCACCATTTGCATTTTTTAAGAACAGATGATCTTCCAATATGTTCTCAGTGATATGTAATTATGCAGAGGCAGTTTTAGTTGTGTGAACAGGCCTTTATATTGCTATACAATTCACACATTCATCGTGCAGACAAAGCAATGATAAAGAAAGACCGAAACAGGCTTCAGAGACTTCTTAAATTCAAGAGCAGTGTAAGTCAGAACACACTCAATGGATAGCTTTTATTCTGAGTTTGTGAGCAGGAGTAAAAGTGAAGATTTTGCACATTTATCTTTCAGTTTTAAGGATGCAGGCCTTGGTGTTATTTGACCCTGTTGCTGTCTACCTGAATAAAATCAATACTGAGTTGAACAACATGAGTCTGGAGCTTGTGAGATATTTTTTTTGACCCAGACTGACATCTAGAGGATGAAAGCAGCAGCTGCAGGTGTTTCCAGCCCACCTCAGGTGTCATCTGAAGAGTCAAAGTAATGGTAAAGGAGTTCTTAGGAGTGCTTGTGCTTTTAAAGTTTTGTATATGTTGTCTTCTTTGTTGTTGTTTTTAATATATTCATGTTGAGCATTCTTTAGCTTTAGTATTTTATTTTGCATCTTATCTATGGTTGAATGAATTTAACATGTTTTCTTTTTCTATTTCCATATTGATTTTGTGCATATTTGTATTAATTTGTGAGCATTGTGTCAGGTATAGCCTACACAGTGCCTGCTTGCAATAAAAGAATAACTTGGAGAAAATCAAAGTTAATAACTTACTTGTTGTAAATTTCAGTGATTACTTTACTTTACAGGTTTTACTGTAATATTACTACATATTTGATTTATATATATTTTTTAAATTGACTACTAATATTTTGAGTTGATAGTTTAGTTGTTTTTACTTTTATGAAATTAAAAATGAGACGTATTTTTTAAAAAGTCGAAACTAAAGGGTCAAAGGTTAAAACGAGGCGTGTTTTCTAGTAACGTGACCGGAACAAAACAAACACGCACTTCCGGTTTCTGCACGTTGCCTCTTCCTCACCACCAGCAAGCGTCTGCTGAGCTGTAAAACAGAAAATTATCATCATGCCGAAAGCCAAGAAGTCATCGAAGAGAAAGAAGTTTGATTACACTCAAGACCGGAAGAAGATGAAGAAACAGTTCATGAAGAAATACAAACCGAGGATAGAAAAGTAAGCGAAACTGAACGGCATGTTAGCATCTAAGCTAATGTTAGCTAACAGTGACAACATGTGAGAGGGGTTTAACTGAGAGATCTACCAGCTGCTTGTCAGTAATTTAAGTTTAGGGACTCGGGTGTTTCACTTCAGTAAAAGTAGGAAAAATTCTGAAGAATACTCAATTACAAGTAACATTACAGAAGTATTATCAGTAGGATGTAACGTTACTTAGAGTACTCATCACGCAGAGTGGCTCTTTTGACAGGGTTAAGATATGTTGTGTACACTTCTGAGTAGACTAGTTGTATAGTGCTGCCACATGACATTATATAAGGATATCGTATGTATTTTATGTTTAAAGAAAATGTATGTCACAATAGGCAGTGGAGAAAAAAGTACAATGTTTTCCTCTAAATAAATAGTGAAGTAAAAGACTAAACAGCACAACATTAAAAGTATAAGCATGTCAGAATTGTACTCCTGTACAGGATGTGAGAAAATGTGCTCAGCTGCTTTCTTCTGCTGTTTTTATTTACACAAGTAGACACTAATAAAGTTTCCTCACAGGAGGGTGAGGTAACAGATGCCTAATTCGGGTCCTGGCAGCTTACACTATTGTAATCCTAGGTATTCTTCTTCTTTCTTCTTCCGAGGAAATCATACTTCCCATGGGTGAAAACTCACCAAACTTTGCACAAAGGTCCAGTCTCATGCCAGATATCCTCAGCTGTAAACTCAAGACAATAGTCCTGATGGTGGCGCTACAGCAAGCGTCTAAAGTTCAAAACTTTGAAAATTCATAACAAATCAACCATACGTGCTACAACTTCACAACTTTCATCACACTGTAGCCCCAATACTGAAGAAACTTTTGTACATTTAAACCTATTAAAAATTATGAAGTTCATCACTCTGGTTTTTTCAAAAACTGTAAAACTTCTTAAACCTATCTCCTCCCACAATTTTTGCTCAATTGACACCAAACTTGCTACAGAGCATCTTCAGACTGTCCTACAAAAACTATGTTTCTCAGATTTTTGATTTATCAAAAATTGAGCCTACAGTGCATCAAAATGTTTGACTGTAAACGGTACTGTAAACATATACATGCAAATTCTTGCTAAATAAATCTTCAATGTTCATGAAAAAAATGACAAAATTCTAGAGTCATGGTAGATGATGTGTGGCAAATTTCAGAATTTTATCTCAAAAACTGAATTTTTGACAGCATTTTGAATTTTGCTCTAATGTGAACAATTGGAGTCAATGTAAAAATGGCAATTTTAAACATCAGTTTTTCACTTATGGAGCAAATCAATCATTGTTACAAACAAATTACCAACATCTCCATGCTGTCTAGATGCAATATGTGTATTTTCAGATTTTTGTTTCGATAACTGAATTTTTTACAGTGGTTTGAAATCTGCTTTTCCATGCATGGACGGCTGCTAAACCTGCACATCTGGCTTAGTCAGTTTGTGAAGCTACACATGAATTGTCACTGACTAATTAGCTCAGTGAGATAGAAATTGATTCTTAGTCTCAGAGGTTGTGAGTTCAAGCCTCAGCTGATGCAAAAGGCAGATTGTGTTGCTAAATTCCTAAATGTCTTCCAATTCTTCTGCTTGTTGCTCAGAATTGTCTAAAAATGCCCGGACCCAACCCATCGCTGCGCAGCAGATATAATGTTAAAGATTGTTATTGTCAATGTCACAATAAATTAATGTGGAGATTATTTTCTCAGTTAATTGCAGTTATTGCTCAGTCTATAAAAAGTGAAAGTATAGTAAAATATGCCCAAGCATGATGGGCACAGACACAGGTGTCACCCATACTTCCTTCCTTCGGTTTATCTGACCAACATGTCAAAAACCAAACATAATCAGATTAGACCAAACATAACAAGTCTTCACATTTGCTAAAAGACATCAGATAATTTCATTATTTCCTGTATATTGAGTAAATGTCAAATGTTTCCACAAACCAAACCAACGCCCTGAATGTTGCTGGAACCACCAAGTCTGCTCTGATGTTACTGATAAAGGGTTTTATTCATATAATGTAAGGCGTATAGATTGTAGGCATGAAAGTCAGAGACGTAAAGGGGAACAGGGTATCTGAGTACAGTGTTTGTGTGTAGAATACAGGGATTTTTAATGGCTATTTGCACAGCAGTAATTGAACTTGTTTTTGGCTTTGGTAGAGTCAATTTTATTTATATAGCCCAATATCACAAGTCACATATTCACACTCTGTCCTTGGACCATTAACTGTCACTCGTCCCTTTTTACAGCACAAATTCAATTATTCTGCTTTATCATATGACATGTACTCATGGTTCTGCACTTTGGACAGTTTTGTTGTTCGTTATAACAATAGTCAGAATGTCCAAAGAACTCTTAATTATTTTTTCATTGTATGCAAACAAACATGTTTTTTACTAGAAAGATAACAGATAATTCTTATTGGGTGGAACTTTTTTACGTTTGTCTTATGAGATGAATCACTCAAAAACACTTTAACTGGTGCATCAACATATGAAACTCCAGAATCATACTTTTTATAATCGTTCATGTAACAGAACCACACTTGGAAGCGTTCCTGTCTCGCTTGAACTTCACTGTTGTGTGTTACGTTGATTCTAACGTGCCCTTGCGCTCAGTTCACAGATCCGAAATGCGTGGGACGACAAGAAGTCCACGGCCAGGAACCTGCAGGAGATGGGTCTGGCTTTCGATCCAAACCGCACGCTGCCAATAAAGAAAGCGCGGGTAAGTTACTGCTGTGGTTCTGCTGGAAGTTTCCTGTAGTTTTATCTACCCAGGAGGCATGTCTTCAGAGCACACATGCCGCCTCTAAGCAGCACTGGTACACAGTCCGACCACTTTTCATATGATTCATAGATCATTAATAATTGTCCCATTTACCTTGGTAACAAAAAAATGAAAAGATCACTTGTGCTCAAGACTCTCCGTCCTCACAGTGAACCACCAGGTAATTCTTTAAACAATCATAAGAAACTCAGACTATGACTCTGAGTAATTTAACACATTTAGAACTTCAGAGCACATTTGTTTCCTACAACAGGAAACTCAAACGTATTTTACCTCTCTTATTACAGATTTCAACAGCACTTTCAGGGCTCCTGTTATCTCAATCCCATGTGCTGGGTGTTTTAGGGTCTGTGTTGACAGTTTCTTGCAGTTATTCTTACATTATTTTAACATATACTCTGTCTGAAACAATCTGATTCAGCCTTTACGCTGCAATCAGGAAACTGTCTACAGTTAGCTTGGTTTTGTTTTGTTTCGGTGTCATGTTGTGTCATTGAAGCCAAAGTGTGACCACACAGCAGACAGGACACTCGTCTGTAGCATCTTTAACTCTTTTAACTATGTGCAGTTTGGGTGCAGTGATGCCTTTTTGTTTTTCAGTCATCACAGTGATCATTCCTCCTCTGAAATATGACACTTGAGTCAACAACACTGATTTCAACAGCAGCTCTGAACTGATGTTTTCATGTATGATCATATTGCAAAAATGATTTTAAAGAATTTAATTTATGAATGCAGCAGATAAACTGTCAATCACTTTGATGTGCATTTCTGCATCTGCAACAGATGAAATGATTTTGATCACGTTCAACTGTGTTTGACCTTAAGTTTGTCTCATTAGCCCTTTTTAAATAGGAATTGTGCAAATTTGCAGGAAAGCCCAATCAGTCTTTTTTCAGCATTGGCAGTATAAAAACAAAATCGGGGAGTGCAGCAAAATGCCGCCTGCCTACTTTTGTTTATACAGAATGCACCTTTTTCGGGGCAATGGGGGGCATGAGCAAGTAACAAAACATGTAGCTCAGAGTGTGAAGTAAACAGTGACGTGGGAGGGAAGCAGCGGCTGGTCAGTCCTTCGGTGATTCTCTCGTAAGTCAGACAGTTCTTCACCGTCCCCGTCATCTGACGGTTAATGGCCTCTTCGTTTGCGAGGACAAGGAGAGCGCGCAATTCCTTGTCTCCCCAGTTGCTCATCTTTACAGTGTCTGTCAGGTTTGTGTTTCCCTCTTGCTACTAGCTGCCCGCTAATTCCTGCTATCAGCTGTTTCCTGTTTATCCACCGCCAGTGGCTCGCACGTGTGGCGTCATCAACAGCCCCTCCCGTTGCAGAAGGCCGCCTCGGTCTGTTTAAACTAAAAAGATTCCTCCAATATGTCTACCCTACGAGGCGGAAAATTGGGCACCTCGGATCAACTCGCCAATCCAGCTCTGTGTGTCTAAACGCTCGCAGCTTGCCGGCAAAACAGCCCAACAATCACGGAAAATCATATACATAAAGCCAGATGAAGAAAATGAGGAGTCAATTGATGTAGCTTCACCTTTTACCAGACATAGAGGCATGAAGAAATCACCAGGGAGTCAAAATAATAAACAAACTGCCCCCAAGTCAAAACGAAACCACAAAGCCGATTGAACTCCCAAAAACAAAAAGGTGCCATCTAAACCTTCTAAAACTTCTAACAACACAGGAAAAACATGAAAAAAGGGTGTAAAAGAATGGAAGCTCGCCCCAGTGGGGCTTCCTGGCATGATGCTTAGGAAAAGAGTTCAAAAAGATCAAACAACAGGAAACAGTACCTTGAAGTATGTAACTCTAACAACAACAGTATTTATCCCTCAATTTGACAAGGTTACACGAAAGAACTAAAGACTAAATCCTTGCACAGACATGACCGGCAGCACAAATGGCAACAAAGAGGTTTTAGAGGAGCAGCTCCTTGACCTTTATATACCCCAGATGGATTGACTGGCTGCAGGTTCCCAGAATCCACCAGCCAGTGGCTCAAGAGGAGGGAGGAGGAGCTAGGTTTGTGGCCGACAGAGCCTGATGAGCAGCACAGCACACGTTAAGGCCCAGACACACCAAATTACTACAGCCGACGGCCAACCAGCATGTACGCTGTATCTGTGTGAGAGGAAATGATTCTTCATACCAGCAGATGGCAGTAGTCTGTATTTATCATTCAGAAAGGCAAACCAGAAGACCGACAGGATGGATTCAAGACGCTAGTTAGCCAGTTAGCACATTAACAACACAACCCGATGATGAAGAGATGTTGAAGAGCTCATTACCAAATACAGCAAGTTTGTTTTAATGTCACTCTCTCTTGACTTTAGTAGTTTGTTTGCTTCCCTCACTCCCATTTTCCCTCTCGTGCACTGAGTTGAACTGCCAATCAGAGTGACTTCATTCACCGACGGGCTCTGCTGCCTCTGACCCTGATCCAACATGCTGAATTGGCCGAAAAAACCTGACAAGGGCTGACGAGGGCCAATGGTGCAGGACACACTCGCAAAAGCTGGGGCGACAGATGCTCACTGACGGCCCGACATTGACCAGCGACCGACCGTCAACTTGGTGTGTCGGGGCCCTTACACTTTAATAAATGGAGGAATTTAAAGAGCGGCCAAATGACTTTTACTTGTGAGAAACACTGGACGTGTATTTGTAACTAGATCATACGGGATGTGTTTTTGTGCCACACGCGATTAGGATCAAAGTCAGTCTTTGTCCGAGGCCAACTGACCAGAACACTGAATCAGTAGCTGGGTGACTGTGTTGCTCAAGAGTCCCTCTGCAGCTGCTAGATTTCAATTTGGTGAGTTGATAAAGCAAGGCGTTTAGTATTGGAATAGAAATAAATAAATGTATCCAACAGGGAAAGGTTTTAAAACATGTGTGTTCATGTAGTTTTCATTTGCGCCAGAAGGGAGCAACAGAGTGTTGCTTATGATGATTAAACACACGGAAACCACCTCAGTAAGAGTCATTACATGTATGGATACAACTTGTTTCTGAGTCTGTGGAAATATGGATGCTGTTCGGTTTTTGGTGGTTTATGAATTTAGTTCATTGTCCTCCTGTTGTCATAGACACTCTCTGCTGCATTAACGGTTTCACCCTGTGGTCAATTAAAGTTAAAATTGTCCTCAGGGCTGCAGCGTGTTTTCACCAGCCTGAGACAGGATTTCATTTAGTTAACTTATGACAGTGAGCGACCTGTAAATGATTAATTTTTCTGCCTCCCCTGGGCCCAGGAGCAAGGACAGTAACTCTATTGTTTCTTAAAATGGCATCACTGATGAAAAATTTCATACTTGTCATGCCCTGTTAGGGAAGAAGATGGCTGATCTACGGTAAAGAAAAATGTTTATCACCCTCAGTTAACCCAGAGTCCAAACACGCTGACTGATGACCATTGTGGCCTTCATATTGTGTTCTTGTTCACACGTGTAGCTCCTCGGTGAAGAGAGGGAGACCAAAGCATCTGTCGGCACCGTGACCAAGCCCTACGTTCTCAATCGTAAGTCATTCCTTTATTTTATCAAGTACTTTGCACTTTCATTTGCACTTTGTTCATTTTGTATTCGATATTTATCCATTAATTTAGCGCTTCTGTGCCAATCTCCACTGTCTAGCTTCTTCCATTTGAAGGATAATGTCGGCGTTTTTCAATCTGGATTCTGTTTACCCACGTTTTTGTGTCTAAGTGACTAATGGGAGCAACAATTTAAAAAAAAGTTTATCAAAGTTTTAGTGTGTGTGAACGTGCCCTGCCTCTGTGAGCAAATCCCCTAAGAGCAGTGATTCTGTTGAAATTATTTGCTTTCAGTGAGAACGTTCACCGCCGCTCTGCACCGGAATTTTTTTCCTTCAGTGAATGTCAGCACTCTCGTTAGTTGGCGTTTTGCATAAAGACTGTTTCACACCACCTCCAAGGATCTTTTCTTTTCATTCAGCTGGACACTCAATGTGATTTCAGCCTAATTAGACCAATTTGACTGAAAGCAGAGCTTCACTTCTCCAGCATGCTTTTGTTATTATGCTCAGTTGCATAGAAGCTCAGAGGAGTCGGCCTTCAGCAGCAGCTGCTCTGGATTTCAGCACTGAATGACTTTCATTCCTCCAGTAACACCAGTGGTGCTTTTAACGCTGTGTTGAATATTTCATTCTACTGCGACGGAGATGGCTTGCATATTTTGTTTCAGCTTTACCATTTATTTTAATGTCCTTGTCTTTTCACCAAAACTAAACAGAAAAAAAAAATTCCAATGAATCATTAAATCCCAAAGAGATGCGAAAATATGATGAATCTTTCTGCTTCTTGTGATTCTCTCAGATGTGTTTGATGTCCTGATTTGTCTTTGTGTGGTTTTGAGCAGAGCTGGAGGAGGAGGCCAGCCGTCCAGAGAAAGACTCGAAGACGCTATCCTCCGACCTGATCGAGTACGCTCAGTACATGATCCGAGAACACAACGACAACTTCAAGGTGAGAGCCGCAACTGAAAGCCTGAATGTGTCCTGGAATGTGTTGTCATGATAACAGAGTTGGATGATTTAGCCCAGTATTTATATTGAGTACAATTAACTGTCTATAATTTTCCAAAGCTAACATGTTAGATTGATTCTCTGCTTTTTATGCATTTCAATATATTCTGACGGTCAGCCTGTAGAGACCTGAAACCTATTGGATATAAATTATTCACAGCACCTCAGTGCATTAATGACTAATATCAGACGAGATTAATACACTTATGGAATAAAAACCTGAGAGAAAAGGTTTCACCCAGCAACAGCCTCATGTTTTATAGAGGCTGACTAATACTGGGTTTTTCTCCTTTTTCATGATCAAATTTTTCTGTTATTGACGTTGATTATACAGCATGGAGCAACGGAAAAAATGCTCAAAATGAGTAAGAACAGTGCTGACAGCCAGTTTCAAAAAGACAGAAGAGAAGTAAAAAGACAAATGTGAAAAACCAAAACATAACCACCCCCATGGGATCCAGACCACCAACACCTGACAAAATATCCATTCCAAAAGGCTTTTAAGGTTCACTGAGACTGTGCTCCACATCTCTATCGTTGACTCCTTCGCCCTATGACCACGAGCTGTCAACAGCACTAAGAACGCAATATCCAGGTACATAAAAACCCACACTCAAAAAGAGAGGGATTGAGCAGCTTCCTGTAAGCCCGGCCAAAAATGCTCTCTTTATGATTAGTGTCAAGTCCAGCTCAGACAGATCTTTAGAAAAGGGTGCAGCAACCTTTACTACCAAAAGAGCCGCTTTTGACCAAGAACCATCTCTCTGGAGCTGCAAAACATATTTGAGCCTCATAATAAATGTAAAACAGCCCATTGGGTCTGAACTGGCCTATCAGAATTATGTACAAGTCTAAATGAGCCTCCATTAGTATGTTTTCCCACAAGGTGCCTACTGCAGTGGGTTAGTTATGATAATTTGGTGATTAAACTTTGCAGCTTTGGTGGTGAAAGCCAACCATTCTGTCCATGCACTATTAAATTCTGTATTTTCCTCTGAGGATTTCTTTTTTGGATTCGGGAGCTAGGGAGACTCACAACTAGCCACTGCTATAGAGGTTCTGCAAAATGTAGAGGAAAAGGCACTAGGCCATAGACGCATGATGCATGTTTTAATTGACAAAATGTTAAAACAAAAAATATTCGGTGTACAGCTACTCATTTGTACAACTGGAGAGTGTAAGAATCACTTCAGGTCAACAACAGTAATGCATGAAAAGTAAAATGTTCAAGAATAACTGTTATTCATTTCCATGTAAGTTATTTGTCAAAGCCACAGGGAGCCACTGGAGAGGTGGTCTTGAATGAGCAAAACAGGCGATTGAGGCACGCTGATCTTAACTCTATCAGAGAGGTTAGAGGCAAACATTTCCCAGAATCCAGCCACTGGAGTGCATTCCCAAAACATAAATAAACTAGTCCATTGAGTGCACAGTTGCCCACGCACAGTGTCACATGGTGTGTGTTTGGGATACAGGTCATAGAAGTTGCAGATTAAATAGTGAACTGAACCCATTAAGAAGAGCAATATATTCAGACAGAGTGTTTGTGAATTTGATAGTAAGATTGCTTTATTGAAAGTACAGTAGAACCATAGCCAATAGTGGGATAGTTAGTGGGCTAAAACTGTACATTAGTAGTTGAGGTAGCACGTTGAAAGGCAGATAGTTAAAGTCATTGCCTTATAGAAGCTCAGTTTTAGTAAGTTTTCCAACTTTTGCCAAGAGGGAACTTTAGATATTGGTCCCTAGATTATGTTCACCCAGTTTCATGCAGATCGCTCAAACTTCCTAGGAAGAGATCCATTTGAAGTGTTTTTCAAAAAATTCAAAATGGCGGAAAATCTATATAAGCGGGAGTTATGGGTTCTTGAGGCAAATGTGTTCCTCATGAGGAGAGGCATCTCTGTGCAAAGTTTCATGTCTCTACGACATACGGGGCATGAGATATGCCCATTCAAAGTTTGACATTTCAATGGGTTGCTATAGCGCCCCCCTTTGGCCAATTGATGTAATATTGCTTTATTGGCATCCTCCCATGACCCTCTACCACTGTGCCAAATTTCACATGGATTGACCAAGTCAGTGAGGAGAAAAACGTGGAACAGACACACAGACAGAGTTTTCGTCATTATATAGTAAGATAAAAACAGCCTTTGTAGAACTTGGATTACATTTATTCTCTCTAAAGAAAGCTTACTGGGTGCAATGCTGGGCTTTTGAGGCTGATACCAGTATTTGAGAGTTTAAAACAATATTCCACTTTTGTTAACGTCAACACAGAGCAAACATCTTTGATATGGACGAGATAGATATGTTTTTAAAGAGTTGTGACCATAGGCTGTGTATTAACACACTTCCCCCACTGCACAGAAATGAAGCCAAAATATCCCAAATATACCGCTGCTGCCGAACATCTTGCGCTTGTGACATCATTTGGAGCTAGAGTCTGTGCAGTCGTACTCTCTGCTGGTATTGACTTCCTGCCCATATACCTGTCGGACCAATCACAAGCAGCACCATTGATAGCAAGCACACTGATTGTTATTTTTAAAACATCAAATCACTACCGATAACCTCCCCCCAGCTGGTTATCTGTGTGTTTGGTTTGACGTTACCTTCATATTTATCCTATAGATATGAGAGTGATTAAGATCTTCTCATCAAACTCTCTGTCAGAACATCAGCAAAATGTTGAATTATTCCTTTAAGACTCTCTAGAAGCTTTGTAGATGAGTGAGTGATCAATTCAGCTGAGGTAAAAGCAATAAACTCCACACATAAGGGAGAGCGTCATTACCATGATGAAGTTATTTTGTAGCTTACTGTGACCTGCTGGGAGTTTTACAGGAGGCATTAAGATAAGATATTCACTGGCTGGATTTAGGCTGCATGTCTGGAAACTATTTGGGAAAACAGTTTCCCCAATGGTGCTTTCAAGGACATCCTGACGTCTGAGATATGAAGGCTGGCTGCCAAGGTCTAAGACGTTTTCTTTGTACCATCCTGGACATGCTCAGTTGCTGCGGAGGAAACTTAATTTGTCAGTCGAATATTTTTCTCTTGATGATAACAGTGTTTGGTTTCCTTGAAAAGTTTTGAACGAAGCTGCACATCTGAAGGACAAATACGGTTTCAGCTGCACGCTATTCTTTCATAGCTGCTGCTTTTTTTCTCTCTCTCTACACTTTTAGATTGAAGGGACACACTGGTGCACATTACGGAGAGCTTAGTGTGTTTTTCGTTTCTTATTGCTCAGAGCAGCAAGTGGCAGAAGTTTAAATTACTTCAGCGTTTATCAGGAAAGTGCCTCATTCAAATGGATTTTCAACAGTTGCCTTAAATGGGACTGAGTCATCACTGGGAGCACAGCCAAGTCACAATCAGTCAATAACAGAGGATGTTGTGTGAGTGTGTGTGTGTAGTTATTTTCTGCATTGAAATATCCTTCAATAGAAAATATTCCATCCTTGACTTTAAATTGTGAAAAGCTGAGTTGGTCACCTTCATGTGACTGCTGCAGTTAGTTTTTAAATGTGTTCTGTGTGTTTCTTTTTGTGATCAACACATCGCGCTCAAAGTCATGCTCTAGAATTGGGCAGATTTTAGGTCTGAAGTTCAGACCCCGATGAGGGCATTTGCTCGCAGAAGGATGACTTCAAAATCTTTGATTTCCACACATGATTTATTTTCTTATTATTTCTCACTGTGACTGTCTGCCTCTAAGAAAACATAATGTAGTTGTAATGATCTGTAATTGAAATAAACAGATTCATTTACTTCTATCATCTTCTATGAATGCAATAGGCCTAACAAATGGAAGAACGTAAAGACAACACACACGTTTATGTCCGTCATGTTTTATCATCCAACTGGTTCAGTCATAAGGAACTTCCAGGTAATCACAATGTTGAGCATCAGGGTTTAAATTTCTGATTATTGACTGTTCTAGCCTGGAAATCCAGACCCAAATCTAGAAAGATTTAGGGTCTGGCTATGAGTAATGCAAATGGCCCAACTCGAGGGGCGGCACCAAGCATGCATTTGAAAATATCACTGCACGCAATTGGATAACACTACGACCAATCAGAACAATACACAGGGTGACGTATCCAGAGCTTAGCTACCAGTGGAGCAAACTGGTAGATTAGACTATTGCCATATCCAGTAGGCAAAACAGCAAAAACGTCCTTCTTGCAAAAGAAAGAATCGAGCGCCGTCTTCTGTTCCTCTTTTAGAGAAAAAGCCAAGTCTAACTCGTTCATTGTAGCGGCCAAAGCTGTTTCAAACAACTGGTGTTCATCCGTAGCCATCTTGCAATGTTTACTGAGTGATTCCGTCACAGCGCTGTCGCCATCTGTTTAGCTCGCCTCTGGCCCGCCGATATCAGATACACCGATGTGATTGGTGCAGCTCGGCTCCAACGGCATGGGTAATGAGCATCATTACTGATTGACAGAGTGACTCGCTGAGCAAATTCAAACTGTGCTCTCGCGAGAACTCTGGATTTCCAGGGTATGACTGTTCTGCATCGAGACATAATCTTTCAAGAGAAACATGATGCATCTAGGTCTTGATTTTTTTTTTCTTGCCTAGTCGTCATAAAATCAACACTCATGATCTAAAAAGGAGGAATCCCAATACTCTGACGATCCTCTGACTTTTTATCTAACATAGGATCTCTCTAAAACTAATGACCAAGGTCCAGCTGTAATTTGAGATTAATGATAAAATTTCATGCTACCATTCCAACATTATGATACTACTACTACTACTGTTATGTACTATAATACATAAGGCCCTATCCCAATTTTCCCCCTTGGCCCCACACCTAGTTTTAGAGTGCCCCTGACTGAGTAGTGGCCCTTCAGAATGGAACGACAAGGGGTTTGAAGTCGTAACCTAGGAAATGGGACACCACTCCTTGAGTCATTGTGCCAACAA